TGAGAATAAAGTTAGAGTACTTATTTGTATATTAAGTAGGATAAAATTGGATGCCAAATTACTGAAATGAAAATCTATCAATCTACATTAAAGAAATGATTATTTAATGGATTATAATCAATTTACTCTACGTAATCACATCAAACTCTGTGACTATTAACGAAAATTTGTGTCGGAAACTTCATAGAGCCAATAACTCTGTATCGACATTTGAAGTCTCTATTAAATAAATTAAATGGTGTATGGTTCGTCAGTATCCAATTCATATTCGTATCTAGAAAATTTGACGATCTCATCTAACTCTTATTTTTCAGTCGGAGTATCCCAACTTCATGGATGAGGTACACTCAAGAAAATTTAATTCGGTCACAAAATCAACGTAGTGCATCTGAAAATCTACGTGAAAAAATTGATTCTGCCTTAAGATCTATAATTGGTAGTGTACATGGTCAATTTGTTACGGTGAATAATGCACTACAAACAAGAATAAATGAAGTTACCAATGCAAGAGATAATCTTCGCTTATCCTTGAGAAAAGTAACCATTACTATTTTCTGTTCTTATTGTTTTTAATCGCAAATTACTCATTAGGTTACACAGGAATTATATGAAGTGGAAAACTTAATAGGAGCACTTAAAAAGACGACGGATGACAAAATCCAACCATTGAAGGTTGCACAAACCAGATTAAAAGAAAGAACTCGAAGGATCAATGTGGAGAGTTGTTATGATCAACCAATGAAAACGTAAGTTCATGTTGACTGGAGCGAGAGATTAACCACACAACTGAGTTGATAAAAGCATAATTTACTCTAGCGAATCTTCAACGTACTAATTTACTTTCTCCAACACTAAAATGTATCAATACACTAATATGATTAGTACTTAAACATCAAAATAAAGATAAGCATTTATGTCTAAAAAACGCAGTAAGTGGAAATTAAGATCACGCCGACAGGACCTCATAGTAGATTCTAGGACAGTAATATGGTTGTGTCATATGCGATCCACCTCTTTCGTAACTGTTAACTGCTTCTAGTAGGCTGGGGGTAGCGATATAAGAAAATCAGCCAGTGGACACGCGGCAAATTTAGCTGAGAACTGAACACAAATTTTCATCTGCAGGTTGGCTTTCTAACCCTTCATTCTATCTTACTACGCAGTTCCTACTTCTTTCAATGATCTAGTGTGACTAAATATGTTTTGATGGTCGCATTTACGATCTCGGTGAACATACTTCGACGAATTCAATAATAATCTTGATCAAGGACTATGCTATGTTGTTTTCTAAATGATAAAGATACCTTAGTACCACACCACTGGATAGACAGGTAAACAAACTTAATTCTAGTATATTCATACTTCATTTCACAACTTTCATTCGCTAGTGTATACATTTTTTAAAGAATCCGTGGAATAGGGCCTAATACTACTTCATGTTACATAGAACGAATCCCAGCAAATATCACTACAATACATTATACTGTATCTAGTCTCGAAGCATCCTTTCCTATGATGTGTGATATACTTTTGTCTTTGTATTATAATGGACATAGAAAAATATGAAATCCAGTGCAGAAGGGCTGACTTTGTATGTGTTACTGGGGTAGTGTGAATAGAATGTACTCTGGTTGTTTGAATGATTGATTATCAATACTTTTCCTACTGAGAACAGTAGGGTTTATAAATATGTGTAATGCTTCAGGTACTCGCCTTTCTTTATAGTGGGGAAATGCTTTTTGAACTGTTCTAATATTTTAAGGTCGGTTGGTCGCTACTGAAAACAGCATGTACTGTTACTGCTAACTTCACTTGAAAATTCACAAGGCGTTTCTGTGGAACTTAGCTGTTCTTCGACTCGAATCAAGATTTCATGAGAAAACTCTTCAGAACAGAAGGCATCACAGTCAACACAACGTTGTCCACAAACAAAATTGTGTTGAAATGTAAATGATATTTTCTTTTGATTGAACTAAAGTATTCCGAAAAGTGTTGGTTGTTGCATATTATGCTTTGATTTCATGGAGTTTTAAGATTCATCTTTGTTCTGTCACACTACGGCACCACTAAGTACCATTAACTACTATCAATAATCTTCTCCTCACTCATTTCTAATTCTCTTGACCGTTGCTTACAACCAACACTTTTTTCAAATCAAAACAGCTATGAATGTCTAGAACTAACCGTTATGTATTCTGATGTCGAATGATTATAGAATATTTTTCGGAAAGTATACTATGGCTAGGAGGCAACCACTTCTTATTGAAAAATTTTTCTCACCTAAAAATGTAGTAAATGGATTATCTCTCTTGCACAGTGTAACAATATGTTAGAGATGTAGTTATTTTTACTATAACAAATTCATATTTAGTGAAATAAGTACGTATACACACAATATGAGTATAGCTCCTTTATACTTGATATTTTCTTTTACAGACTTCAAACTGAAGTTTTGGAACTTAGAAAAACAATCGAAGAACTTAAAAACAATCGCAGGAATGCAAACATCACATTAGCCAGATTGCAAAAGAGTCGGACATCCCTTGAACAAGAAATAGAAACCAAAGAAAATTCACTATCTATTGATCAAAGGTGTTTAAGTATGCGGAAAAGTTTCCCTATCAAAGATAAATACGGATCATTATACGCCATTCCAGTTAGCTATTAGAACAGACAATTTCAGTAAATTATTATGAAACGACAATATCAACAAATAGCCTTTCCTATGGTTATCTGTTTAACAACTTGATTTTTACCAATCACTTTTCACGTAAGCTCAATACATACGAATCATTATTTATCAAATGTTAGTTACCAGACGTATGGATATATAGAACAAGATAAAAAGATGTTTTGTCGATTCTAGTAATTACTTTTGAAACCTGCACATTCGCGAAAAACCAAAGACTGAGTGAGTAGAATCGACAACAGAAAGAATGGAATGAACTGAAGATAAAAAGCTACCCTCCGAATAAAGAATGTTTTCTCCTAAAACTTCTCTTATGCTTATTAGCAGACTTTGATAACAAGATACCGGAGAGTCACGAACACCAAACAATTCAACTAAACATATAACGGTCATTTAGTACTATATTCTGACTCCGAATGTAACGAAATCCATATAGCTGGAAACTTTCTGGAGCTGAATATAAGTCATATAAAAGACAAAAAGTGTCGTCTAAATTACTAAAGCAATTTAGGTAAACAAGCTACTTCGATAAGCACACCAGCACCAACTGACAATTTAACTAGTCACTAAATTCACGAAAATGCTAGAGAAAATACTTTTGTTTAAGCCTGTTATGGTCTTGGATGTCTGGTTTTTCTATCACACGATTTATCTACCAATCCGAATACGACTTATACGAATCTTCACACTAGGCCAACCAATGACGTTCAACCGGTGTGGGCAGTTTAGCGTCCTTATTGGTCCTATGTCCTACGAGCCCTTCCACTTGAGTACAGAACAAGATACCAGCTTCCGAATCAGAGCAGATCAGACCAGATCGTTTATTTCAGGCATACTTGGTTTATATATCAATCACACAGACCGCAACGTACCATAAAATAGGAAATAATATTTGTACACAAATAAGCCCAAAAAGTGGCTGTGAATATGGGAGGCAGTAGTTAATAAACCGAACATAACTTAAGAACCGTAAATGGTACAATAATAAATTATAGGCCAAAATAAAGCTTGTCATAAGAGGGATATAAATATACATAATGTAATTGTTGAGTAGTTATACAATAAGAATATTTATAGAATATTAGTCCATGAATAGTCCTTGGAATTTACCTGTAATTTAATCTTCACCGGATATAACAGCCTCGAATTCAATGCAAGCGTATATAATAAATTCTCGTGCTATCACACTGTTCTTTAATTGGTTATAGCAGGATTTCAGGAGGCAAGGATGTTTCAGAAAAAACATTGTACGTACTACTAAGACAACGGAACTCACGCCAAACCAAGAAACAAGCGACTATTTAAAGAAACGCAAACTGAAGAGTTTATTTCCCATCAAAATGCATGTGATTGACGATGCTGAAAATGGTTAGATGAGGAGGAACCACCAGTCAAGATAGTTATTGTAGCAGTTTGTTTCGACTAATAATCAACAGCACATAGTTGTACCTTACTATAAACTGAGACTCGCGATCCCTCTCTTGGTTGAGGTTTAAGGAACTACTACAAAACATGAAGGTAATCACAAAAAAGGAACTAAAAACAATGTAATTTGAACTATGCTCTGGTATCCAGATCTTTGTATTATCATTCGCATCGTCGCGCCTGTCACATACCAAGGTGATATATAGACATCCCAATAGGTATAGCGAGCCAAATGTTTATTTGGAATATCCCCAGCATGCAACGAATAAAACTGGTTGGTTTAGATAACCTAAACCTTAAAACACGACATTTTGACACGCAACGCAGTCACTTGACTGTTCAAATCTTTATAATAAATGTCAACATGTTACCCCTACCACCTACACCAAAAATGACACTACTTATACTACGACTGCATTAGTGGACGGGAATAGTTTAGTCCCAAAACTGGTACCTACGAACTTTATTTCCAAAATTGAGTTACCACTTGCTAAACGAGGATATTACGCTACTGACCATAGTAATTTATTTATCACTACCAAGAGACCCCGCTATCATTTTGCCTCATATTTAACTAATCAACAGTTGTCACAATTCCAGTAGCATGAATTATTGCAAGGTGATATCAAGTGGAAAGTCCCAAAGGATAGATATCCAAATATGCCTAATCCAACGTGCTTATCGATAATCACTACGTTATTAGGCCAATAAACTAACAATTGGCAAACAGACTTTTTTAAGCGACTACTAAGACTGACGACAGTAAACATTAGAACTAGCTTTAACTAATACACAAGTCTTTACTTCGTACTCATTAAAACTACGCGGGCATAGTCCAATAAATGAAAGCAGTAGAACATCGTTTCCGTAACAAATTTTTATTCACCTATTTCTTTCGAGATACACCAACTGTTCGTCCACGTCGTCCAGTTGTTCTTGTGTGTTGACCGCGAACTCGCAATCTAAAATTACAATAATAACATATGAATAATGAAAAGGAGTAGGTTATATTTATGCATATAAGTACATTGAGTAAAGGCAAAGAAGGGATCAAGTCAGGACGCCCTAAATGCAGTGCAAAACCTGTTCTGACTATTGTGACTACCACCTAAACGCTGTGGACTTGCCTACTGTAGTGACTCAAGCCAACTACACTAATTAGAGAACTAATCTGACATCCTGAAAAGTTCAACAGAAACAGTGGACCGAGCATTGATATTCAGCGTTACAGGTTTTAGGCGCGAGTCAAGTCACTCGGATTGTCGTATATGTGGCAGGAAATTTGTTGTGAACAGTTAACACCACTCTTTACACAGTGGGTTGAAGAATGGTTTTGTACATAAAACGACTACTACTAACCAATCAGAAAAAAAGGAAATTTACGACTCAGATAATAACATACTGACAATAATTTCATAACATCTATCCTATATTCTAATTGTAAGCTTAGTGTTTAAAGCATTGGGTACAGATGATCGATGACATGTCAAGACATCTTAATTAGCGTCTAGTATATGTTAAAAACAACCACTAAACTTCACACGACCAGACTAGCTTTAAACTTAATGTTCAGATAAGACAATCATTATTTAACAGAAGAGGTGGCCAGAAACGCCTTGTAAACTAAGACCAAGACATGTTTAGAGACTTCGAGATGGAATAACAAACATAAGGTGACTCGTCGGTAGACATTGTGAACCAATAAGAACTAAACATAAATAATTTCCGCTAACAATATGTAAATGTCCTATTTCCAAACATCCGAGAAAATGCTCGTCACAAGCGAACCATGTCTAATTGCACCACATCTATGACAAAACTCGACAGTTCACTGAAGTGAATGATGTCCCGAAGAGACGTTTCAATAGAACAATGATGGCGAAGCTACTTATTAACTTACCCCCAATAGTGACGTATACCCCGATGAGATCTTATCCTTTTTAATCGCTCAAGATCCTCACGTAGCTTAGTTTCCAAAGCACCGGACATCAATTGTGAGTGTTTGCCATCGTCGACATCTTTCTGTCTGTTTAGAAACCAATCAGGGATCTTGTACTGCCTTGGATTACTCATAACTGTCACAAGCTTTTCAACCTCATCTTCAGTTAGTTCACCAGCACGCTTGTTAAGGTCGATATCAGCTTTTTTACATACTACATTGGCATAGCGTCGGCCAACACCTTTAATTGAAGTTATGGCATACATTATTTTAAGTTGGCCATCAATATTCGTATTCATGACACGAAGAATGTGCTGGAACTTTTCTGGTAGCATAAGATCCTAAACAAAATGAATTGAAGAAACAAATCAACACTAACCATCGTGGCTGGCGACTTTGATCAAATATCCCGGTTACAGTGAGACGACGAATAACCGCCGCCTTGATCTTATATAAACAGCTTTAAACACACGGTGTTTGATAGATTTTAAGATGCGTAACTCTAGAAACTTTTGTTCTACTTCATGACCTTCCATTACTCAACTTTGGATAGCCTCAAAATAGTCTTATACTTTTACAATGACGATATATCAACAATATATCTTCATACTTAAAGTGGGTTGGATATAACCGTTAAAATTGAATGGAAAGTCTAACTAGCAAGTTGGCCGAAACTGTCTTTTAAAGTCACCTATGTAGGGCTTGTCACATCTAACATAATGCTTTTGAACATGGGAAATCAAAACACCTAGACACTTTCCAATTAATGGCACTTCTAAATGGCAATTAACTAAGTTATATACGTATTTCGCAACATACTCCAGATGAAATACCTGTTGTTTCTAGAATTTGAAAGCAAGCTGTTTGTTAGCCGCCGAAATTAGAAGTCCAGTCATGCTCTCCTGTAATCTCAGTTTATTATCCTGTTTTCTAGATATTCCCTAAAGCTCACTATCACGTGTGAAGACACTTATTAAGGAATACCATTAGACAACTTAAAACATCATGAATGCTATTGTGGAGTTCAAGAAAGATCTGAACTTTGGTTAAGTAGATGGAATAGAAAATCGGTATATGTGTGCAGACAGACTGAATCTTCCTCAGAGGAAATCCAGAAGATGGAAGCTAAGAATGTAGTATTTCGAATGTCATGTTTCTAATCACATCACCACAGCTTCTTCGTCTTGCAGAGATTGTGGATGTGGTTGAACTTCCACTTCAGAATCACAACAATTAACCATAGTTTGTTTTTCAACAGGCAGAAAGTACTCTGAGATGAAGAATGTGATTTACTTGATTATACCTTACCTTGTACTTCTGCCTCGATGTATATCTCATTGTAAACAATGATGCTTGGGTGGCAAATATTTCATTTTCTTGCTTTTCGAGAGGGGTGTGATGGTAACTAAATTCCTGAAACAAAGTTTCATGATTCATTCACATTGATGCTGACCTCCTTAGTTCTACTGTGACAACCCTGAATAAAGGCGCTTGGTTAATTGGTTACACCAGACCACATATAGACACGCGGTACTGCATATCTCATACAACAACTACCTAAATAAGACTACATAAACTTTGACACAACTACTATTATCCAAATATCTCCCTTCATCGTTTCATTGTTGACTTTGACTGAACTAACTTTTAGGGTTCTTGTGTAAGAAGAGGTCTTGGATGACAGTAATACTGAGCGCTTCCTTTTTTACTGACGTTGATACCCCACAAAGAGCTACGCTTTCCCTTCACGATTATCCTTTTTCGCATGGTCAGTACTTCTACTACTCACTACATTAGGATGAAAACGATCCCAGTGAACAGAAAATAATGAATGGTCCCATACCAACCTTCGAGTATGCACCAAAAACCTTGATGCAGTAGAACGTCTCTCAAACTTTTGATAACGCTGTTGTGCTAACATGTTCCCATCTTCCGATCAATTGGTCACCTAATCTTTTGTCAGGATCATGTAATGTTTTCCGTACAACTTATTGCACAAGTAGGTTGTGGTTTCGATATCACCCCACACATAAAGCCTCGATTAGTCAATCCCTGCAAATCGTTCTCCTTTTTAAAGTGTTTATAGTCTGTTCTTTCCTGAAGGTTTACTAAAATTAGATGCTGTGGTGCGTATAATATTAATGGTTACATTTGTGAACAGTATCCAGTATTATGACTAACTAGTAACCCATTTAAAACACTCTACGCAAGGAGAACTTGTGAAGCTAAAACTAACTAAACATATATAGAGACGAAGTTATTAGTTGTCCATACTGTTTTTCAAAATACAAAAGAATGCTAGGGAAAGCCTGTTTATATATTTTATATCCCTTACTCAGAGGTTTTTCCGACCTTTAATGAAAGGTGGGGTATGTGGATAGGCTCATTTCAATTTAGCTTGTCGAAAATATTTAAAGAAGACATATCAAGCCCGTATCAAAAGATGATCGTTTTGACCGTGTTCACTCTGATCTCATGAGTTCTCCAAAAAAATTGATTGACTATGTAGTGGCATTGGACAATAACCACACAATCTTCAAAGCTGAATACGAGATTGCTCGGAAAATAGATATTCAATGTTTTCCGCGGAGAAATACCAAACGACGGAGAAGGCGGGAAGAAGGAGTTGAATGAGTTGGAGTTGATCGAATGGCATGGCTCGGCCATGCAGGCGTGGTCCCTGTTATCTTATATCTTTTAACCATATTAAATATATTGTCCTATCACTAGCCTAAGCTGGTTCTCCATCATGTATTGATAATTGTTATGATGCAATGAGTTGGTGTAGACGATGATGTAACTTCCACGTAAGATCTTATAGATTAGGCAGTTATGTCATGACAAGTCTATAGTTTTAGGATAAGGTCTATTATTAGAGCAGTACTAATATCATAGTAGACCATAGTTCCACAACTACATATACATCTTTACACAGGTCAGCTATTTCATACAATTTTCGGAGGCCATACTTTACGATGATAGGGTTGTTACAACTGTTGGTCACATCTTCGTCGGACGATAAGCCCTCTAATAATAGCGACTGGTCATAGGAGCCAATCAGAACGTGAAGCACTTCATGCTAGCTAAATATCCGTAACGGCAAACTGCTGTGAACAAACTGATGGCACGGTACAGCGACCTCAGCCACACAAACGTCTTGCTACTCTCAGGGATATCACAATAAGTGAACACATTCTGACCATCTTTTATACTTGCTCAAACCTAACTTCGTTTGAACACTGACACTTTCAGTCAATCCTACATAGGGTTTAATTCAACGTAAGGTTGCCGTTGATAAGGATGACAACTCATTTTACTTTGTTCTCCAACACAGAGACAACATTACTAATGTATAGTTAGATATTTTCTCGAGATATCGGTACGACGTTTGATTTCCTGGGACAAACAAATTGTTATAACTTTTGAACCTGTGTGCCCTGTTTATTGTATAACACGACGATACCGCCAATCAGAGAGCAGTGAATTATCGATCGAACCAGTGACACATAAAACACGTGCGAGCAGCCTCGAGTCCTAATTGGTCCTGCTTTCCGCCTAGCTCAGCCAGTTAGGTCCGGAACACCAATCTCAGACTCTGCAATATGAATCACTTATTTCAAACATACTGGGTTTATATACCAACCAGACAGACCACATCGTACCATAAAATATGAAACAATATTTGTACAAGAACTCCGCCTGTAGCTCTTATAGGGTTGCTGCCGGTCCCAAGCCCGGGTAAAGGAGGAGGGTTGGGCATGGGGTTAGCGTCCCCATCCCGTAGAAAACTAACTCGCTAAAAAAACGCTTACCAAAAAAATAATTCAAACCATTTTAACTCTGCCCTGGGAGTTAGAAGGTCTTCATTTAGAAGAATTATGACTCTTCATGGTGAAAGCCGAGTTCCTTCGAAAGCCACGAGGCCGACGCCCCTTCTAACAAACAGAACAAAAATTTTTATAGGTACATGGAACGTTCGAACAATGTGGGAAACCGGGAAGACCAGTCAAATATCAATGGAAATGAGGAGATACAACTTAGCAGTACTGGGAATCAGAGAAACCCACTGGACCCAAGCTGGACAGAAAAGGCTAGCTACGGGAGAGATGCTGCTATACTCCGGTCACGAAGAGGACAATGCTCCACACATTCAGGGAGTCGCTCTTATGCTGTCCAAAGTAGCACGAAATGCACTTGTAGGATGGGAATCTCACGGATCCAGAATCATCAAAGCATCATTCAAAACAAAGAAGGAGGGGATCTTAATGAATATTATCCAATGTTATGCACCCACCAATCATAGCAACGACGACATTAAAGATCAGTTCTACGAGCGGCTACAGTCAATCATTGAGAAATGCCCAAGGAAGGACCCCATCATTCTAATGGGAGATCTAAATGCCAAAGTCGGAATAGACAACACTGGATATGAAGATATTATGGGACGACATGGACTGGGAGAAAGAAACGAAAATGGAGAAAGATTTGCAAATCTGTGTGCATTCAACAAATTGGTCATAGGAGGCACAATATTTCCACACAAGCGTATACACAAGGCTACATGGATCTCACCGGACCACACTACAGAGAACCAAATAGATCATATTTGCATCAACAAAAAATTCCGAAGGACAATGGAAGATGTGAGAGCCAGGAGAGGTGCTGACATAGCTTCAGATCACCACCTAGTTGTAGGCAATTCGAAACTGAAGCTAAAAAAGAACTGGACAAACAGCAATACAAAGGTTCAATACGGCCTTCCTTCGAGATACTGACAAACTCAATGAATTCAAGATAGCTCTCAACAACAGGTTCCAAGCCTTACAAGATCTACTGAAAGAAGAAGAAACTACTATGGAGGACAACTGGAAAGGCATCAGGGAAGCACTAACTTCAACGTGTCAAGAGGTTCTCGGTCTAAAGAAATACCATAATAAGGAATGGATATCTATAGAAACACTGGACAAGATCAAAGAAAGGAAGAACAAGAAGGCAGCAATTAACAACAGCCGAACACGAGCAGAGAAAGTCCAAGCACAAGCTGAATACATAGAAGCAAACAAACAAGTGAACAGGAGCATTAGAGCCGACAAGAAGAAATACGTTGAAGAACTAGCAACGACGGCAGAAAAAGCTGCTAGAGAAGGAAATATGAAACAGCTTCACGATACAACGAAGAAACTAGCAGGGAAATACAGTAAACCAGAGAGGCCGGTCAAAGACAAAGAAGGCAGGAAAATCACCGAAATTCAACAACAGCGTAACAGATGGGTAGAATACTTCGAGGAACTCCTGAATAGGCCGGCTCCAATGAATCCACCGGACATCGAAGCAGCACGCATAGATCTTCCTATAGATGTCAACCCACCAGCTACGGAAGAA